TCTTTTGACATGATCAGAAAAGCTAGAAGGAATTTTTATTTGGGGTTTCCAGTTAAAGGTTACAAAGAGTCTGGAGACTTCCAATTTATGATATTCGCTCACTTTAATGAGCTTGGTATCTTCTGAATATATGAAGAAATCCAAGTTGCAGACTCATGCAATAATAGTAAAAATAAAAATAAAAAATACAGCACCATGACCAGGGAAGATGGGAGTTCAAATCTAACGAACAAATTTAGACTAAAACTGGTTTAGGTATGCATAATTATGACGAAGCTTCATGAGCAACACACAAAGGAAGAATGGAAGATATGTATCATTCCCGATAGATGGGTACCCTCTATAGTTCAAAACTTCTGATGATCTGAAGATACCTCTGGGAAGTTTTGCATTGGAAGTAATAAAAGAATTGAAGCTTCATTCAACATGGAGATAAAGCATATTAGCACAAGATCAATGTAAATAATGAAATAGAGGTATCTCAGACCTGCAGTCAATCTGGCAGCAGTACTTGAGAAGGTGAGGATTGTGTTGTGTTCGTCCACTGGAAGTTCACACAAGAGTTAAGAAATAATTCACCACATGTCAACTTATATCTAATATGTGATAACTGGATTAGTTCCTCACCTAAAGCTAGGGAGCAACATTCTAATCTTTGGGCCCATCCATTTCTTATTTGTTTCTGATTTTGGCACTGTCATCACCAAGCTCATGGCCAGAAAAATAAGATAAGACACAAGTGAAACAAAAATTGGAAGCTATCCCTTGTCACTTTGCTATGACTTAAATCTCTATTTGATTTCTCCACATACATGGTGTAATGGTAAAGAATATACCTTAGGACTTGTAAATAATGCCATGCAAGGAATAAATGAAAGCCTTTGATTCTACAATTCTACAGTAAAAGGTCTTCGATAATTACTGTGCACTCACCAACATATGGAAGGCTAATGCTACACAGTGACATTACAGCAGAATCCCTTCTCTCGAATACTTCGATCTTCGTGCACTCCTTTGGAACACAGCAGTTGGAATTGATGCCAATCATATTAAGGAACCGATTTAACTTATTATTTAATGGTTCTTCTCTTGTTTCAACAGATCTCTGCTTCACAAAAGAGAGGATGACATAAAACTAGAATAAGAATTCATCTTATCGATTTGTATTTCAACATGAACCAGCAAAAAATTGTAGGTTTCCTTGTACATGTAAACATGAACAGTTCCAAACAAAAAGATGAAGCAACATAAACTTTCATGTGCTTTCTATTAAGTTAAACTAAAACTCAAAGAGACACTTTAGTGGACAAAACATACACAAAAAGAATGGCTAATTGTTATTAAAGACAAAATTCCTTTTAGCATTAAAATACATAAAAATGCAATCTTCTAGCGGTCACATGAACAAGCAACAATGGGAACACTTCAAACACTCTCTAGAAAATTAAGGATAGTACTTATTGGACTACAAAAAGTCTTTAGGCTATAGTTCTTACCTCACAGAAAATGCCTACATGACTAGGGAGCCCTACTTCCTGCAAAATTTAGCTGTGGTCAAGCAGAAAAAATCAGCTGAAATTCTTTCTCTATTCTCATGAAAGAATGCCATTCTGCACCTTTTTTCCATGCCTGCATGCTTCATGACTGTTTACAATTACTCTCGCAGCCCACCTAAGAATGAGGAAATCAGCACACCAGATCACATAGCAAAGAGAAAACACATTAGTTTGTTAACTAGAAACCTACATTAAGTACAAAACACAGAGATGATTTAGTTCTTTCATTTTTTTCAACACCATGTCTCTGTATGCTAAAGCAAAATCCAGAAAACAGAAATAGAAACTCACGCGCACGAAGTTGGGGGATTCCAGACGATACCAGCTATTACCACAAGCTGATAGTTAACATATAAAAGAAACATAATCAGGGAAAGTAATTTAAAGTGATCGAGGAAATATTCACATATTCCATTATTATGAAGTACAGGCGAACATTTTCTCACAGTACATAAATAAAAGGGAGATAGCCAAATGCAGAAGAAAATTGCCAATTCAAGAAGTTATATGGAAGTTTATTTATACATAAAGGTACATGACAAATGCACTTCTTTAAGAAAGTTAGCATGTCGAACCTCATCAAACATTGCCGCTGGGCTATCATCATAATGAGCAAGGAAGAAGCCTCCAAGAGTATACCTAGACGATACAGCTTTCAGCTTAAAATAACCGAATATCTCACCAGTAAATTCCTTTAAAAAATGATAAATTCGTAATTTGAAGTTGAATACCACTAAGGCATACCCAAAGGCTTCAACCAGTTTGAACTCCTTCGGGATGAAAGTACGAGCAGTTTCTGCTTTCACGAGATGGAGTTGGTACAATGCACTGAGACAAATACACAGTCAATATTCCTCCAGAAAGATGAATAACGAATTTATCCAGACATAGTTAATGCATAAGACATTAAAAAAGGAATCTGGAAAACTTAAACAAGAATTGACAGAAGGCTTGCCTGCCTTTGAATAACCACGGTGGCCCAAGAGCATAGCCAGATAAAGGATGTTTTTCTGCAACTTCCATTGATGTCCTATCCATTTCTCAGTTTCTTGGTGGCTACAAATTGCAAACCATCGCACAAGCTAGCAAACCAAATAACATTAAGATAACTTTTGCATACTGCAAGAAAACATGAAAAATGACGGAGATACTTAATATCAAACATGGATAATGTTAGAATGTAAAATTGTTACTCTCAACCCTCACCATAACTTCGGAGTTTTGGTACAATGGTTGGTCATTTAATATGGTATCCGAGCAAGCCGGATTCAAATCTTGCTAGCCCGAATTTCTATGCATATTTTAAAAAATGATACTGTTGCCTGAATCCATATTAGCCCATGGAAGGGCCTTAAACCTACAGGGGTGTGTTAGAATATAAATTATTACTCTCACCCCTCACCACGACTTTAAAGCTTTAATCTAATGGTTAGTGACTTTAAGAGGAATTTTGTGAGAATCCTTCTTTGCTCGGAAATTAAAACGTATCAATGTGTTCCACCTTAAACATGCTACTAAAAAAGGCACATTTTCTCCAACAAATGAGTGAATTTTCAGCAAGTATACGACCTTATTCTTATCCAAATAAAACCCTAGATTGTGTACCTGCTAAAAGAGGGAAATGTTGGGGATTAAGGAGCACGCAAGCAACGCACATAGTAAGGAGGACAACCAACAACACAACACAAAGAGTTATTGACGTGGTTAGGTCAAACATGCCCACATCCACAGGTCCTCATCAAGAAAATCCACTATCTTCATAAACCACTAGAATCAATACAAGCTATACAAGTTTCGCATGAACAAACTTAAAAACCCTCTCACATCTCACATCTCTCAAGGACCCCGAGAACACCAATCATTCAAGAACTCCAAGAGGAATACCATCACATTACATCACTCAAAGAACACAAGAACATCGACTAGTCAAGAGTTTTAAGAGGAGCATCCCTCTCACTTGGAGGATGACCTTCTCAAACATTAACACCTCCCTCTTCATAGCTTTCAGTGAGAAGTTCAAGAAGCAGATCATTAACGCATCATTTCACCTTCCTATGCATTAGCCCTTCAGACTTCTACTATTTATATTCTTCGAGGTTAACTAGCCTTTCAATCTTCCTAGTCAACACACTGCACTCCTCATTTATGAGATTTGGGGAGGATCCCAACAGGAATTAACAGTAAGGGTCATCAATGCCAAAAGAGTGCACCTGCCTTGGCCTGATCATAGTAATCGAAGCTTCTTATGATTTAGGGTTTAGGGTTTAGGGTTTTGAGTGAGAAGTTAGTTATTATCAGGGAAAAACATGAGTGCTCCAAAGAAAACCATCAGTGATTGCAACTTGGGATTTCAAATTGACTGACTGAGATTAAACCACTTAAATTTCAACAGAAAAAACGACAACATTGCATACAATCCAAGAATCGTATCAGTTAATACAAGAGGAAACCCTAAATTGGATCGAGAGTGCTGAGAAAGTGCATACCTTTGAGAACAGTAAGAGAGTGAGAACCAAAGGAGCCAAACCGCGATGCGACAGAGAGGAGGAAGAAGTTCGAGGCCTATCCATTTGGATTTCAGCACGTGTAGGCGTAATTCACTGGGCCTCAGTTCACGATGACTAATTGGGCAAAGCCCAAGAACAAGATCCAGCAGATAAAATTTTAAGGGTTTTCCTCTTCAGACCTAATATCTTTATCATGACTTATGTTTAAACAGAATTACTTTTCTTTATATTTTTAGGCCCAATCAGCCCTCTCTTTTTGACTTTAAACACAAATAATATAATTCATAGTTAAAGTTTATTAAATTTATACTTTGAACTTTTTGACTTTAAACCCAAATAATATAATTCATAGTTAAAGTTTATTAAATTTATACTTTGAAGAGGTAAAAGCCCCAAAATAACCTCACATCTTCTTAGAACTCTCTCTCTCCCTAGCATATAAAATTAAAACAAAAAAATTTCGATTTTTATTATTATTAATTCTTATTAATTGTAGTAAACAATTATGAGGAATTATAAATAATCATGTGAAAATTTATGTTTAAAAAAATGACAACTTAACTTTATTATAATCTCAAATGCTTATGTGAATTTATGCTACAAAATTAGGAGTCCAAATATTTGGTGAATTATACCTTAAAATACAAAAAAAAAAACCAGATAAATTGTTACCAAAATTTAGTATTTAAATATTAGGAATTAAGGGAGTTGAGGAGTATTCAATGGGTTTATGAGAGTTGAAGAAGGAAATAAGAAAGCAAAGGAGGTGAGAGAGAATTAAATGAGAAAAAAGGGGTAAATTTGAATTTTTTTGAAAACTTTAGGAAGGACCACATAAGTATGAAGTGTAATTGAAATTGTGGGTTTAAAGATAAATACATAAAGTTGATTGGGTCTAAACATACAAAGAAAATAAAGTGGATTTAAACATAAATCATGATAAACCTTTAGGTCTAAATATAAAAACCTCAGATTTTTATTGACTTCTTAATTCTTAATTAGGGACCAATGCCGGAGTTTGACGTGGTGATTGGGGGCATTTATACCACAGAATTCCTAAACTAAATCCTCCTTAGTATTTGGAAATTAGTCTTTAGGTTTCTCAAATCTTATAAGTTGTTCCAAATTAGTCTTTCATGTTCAATGTAATAATCATGCTTGGATTAGTAATTAATAGTATATGATTAATATGGTTATTTGCCATTTAACTCACAAAGAAGAGCTTAAATATGTGAAGCTAACCATTGTTATTAGAGAAGAAAGGTGTTTCAACGTTTGGATTTTAAAATGGTTAAAATGCGTGAATAGGTTTAATTGGAATAGGTAGGGGTAATTTGTTCACAAAACCCTCCGAACTTTGAGGGGCTTTCACATAACCCCTAAAGTTTGTTTATCACATATAACGCCTCTAAACTTCTCATCAAATTCTCTTGAACCTTAACATTTCTCACCCAACTTGTTACGTGTAATTTGCAAATAATTAGAATATTTGTGAACAAAAAATCTCTCAAATTTAGGGGAGGGGCTACATTGCCTAGAAATGATAAAAGACAAAATTTAATACTTTTTCTTTCAAAGAAATTTTACTTATTTGCAAATTATAGGTAGGGAGTTTTGGTGAGAAAAGGCCAAAGTTTAGTGGGATGTTGTGAGTCACCCTAAAGTTTCTTCTTCTTCTTTTTTCTTTTTGTGTGTGTGGGGCTATGTGAAATAACAAAGTCAATGAGGGTTATGTATAAACACCCCTTATAATTTTTAACTTAAGGATATAGACTAAATCAAACGGTAGAAATTTAGAGGAACGAATTTGGTATGATTTATTGGATTTGAAGGACCTAGTAGCAATTTCAATGATTTGAAGTACTAAATCTTAAAGTAAAAATTTATAACGGAGTAAAATCGATCCAAACGGTAATCCCCGATCCAAACAAGAACAACGATAATGGGCCGCACTTCTTTTACTCTTGCAATTCGAGATCCCACATGTGTAGCGGTGCATTCGGTTTGGATACGGTTCAGATATGACACTTACCATAACCATAACCACTTTCTGAAAATGGTTACGGATACGGTTCGAATATTCATCGGTAAGAAAAAAGCATTACCATATCTGCATTAAACGGAAATATATATGATTCAGATATTAGAGAGTTGGATACACATATGATACCGTTACTAATCAAATATTTGAGAAAAAATTAGGAGCCGTTTTCAGAAAGTTGTTATGGTTATGGTAAGTGTCATATCCGAACCGTATCCGAACCGAATGCACCCCTATATGTTACGCATAAAGATGCTCTCGAACAAAACCATTTCCCTCCCTTACTTGTTTGTGCACTCGTGATGGTAATTTAGCTAATTTGTATCCATTGCCCGTAAATAGAACTCCAAGCCTAGTTATTGGTAAAATTCTGTAGTCAATATAAATTAGTAAAGCTTAGAAGAATTCAGTAGCCATCAGGTTTTAGCATAAGCAGAACAAACTTCTAATAGCATCCCTTGACTAAAATAAGAATGCAGCATAATGTTGGATAGGGAATTTCTAATCTATTTTGATAACATAAGGTTATTAGGATTCCTATTCTATTTTGGTAACATGAGGTTATTAGGATTCCTAATCTATTTTGGTAATAGGTTATTAGGATTCCTAATTTGATTTGGTTTTGGTTTAGAATTCCTAGTATGTTTATGATTTTAGGATTTCTATATATATGGAACAATTGGAAGAGAAAATTAGAGGAGAAGAAAAATTGGGGATATTTGAAGCACAGAAAAGAGGTATTTTCTGAGCTATTTGTTTAGGGTTTTATTTGGAGAGATTAAGAGCTTGTTGGTCTGAGCTATTTGTTTAGGGTTTTATTTGGAGAGATTAAGAGCTTGTTGGTGAGATTAGTTTGTTCCTTTGAGTGATTTGTAATCTCAGTTTGTACTCTTTCTCTATTAGTGAAAACCTCATCCCCTTCTTGTCCCGTGGACGTAGGCAACTTGCCGAACCACGTAAAACTATTGTGTTTGGATTTGTGCCGTTGTTTTGATTTGTTTGGCCTTTATCTCGACGTTTGTTTGATTTGGTTCTCGAAGCACGCCCGTTTGGTTGTCACGCTTCCGCGACGCGCACAACAACATAAAACATCTGAAATTAAAGATTATCACCAGCCACCCAGAGCAACGACGAGGGCATGAAATACATTTTGCAATCTACACCATGACATCTTCCATTATCCCTCATTTGGTTGATTTAATAACAAACCAGTGAAGCTAACGGAACTAGCCTCTAATCTTTCAAAAAAAAATATGCACAAATATCCAAGATTCATCAATTCAGTCAACAAATGCTAGAAATTAGGGTTTTTATCAAAAAAAATCAGGGCTTAGGGTTTTGAATTCACCTTAGTAATATACCAAATTGAGGAGGAGAAGAGGAGGTCGGACGTCGTCGATGACCGTCGTATTTTTAATATATGTATTTTTATCAAATATATGTATTTTACAACTCCAGACACTGCAAGAGGCGGCGCGGAGGCGGAGGCGGAGCAGGACGCAGAGGCGGAGGCAGAGCGGGACCCGGAGGCGAAGCGAGACCCGGAGCCGGAGCGGGATTTGGAAAGAAGACTTACGTCTCGTTTGGTACGCAGGAATGTGGTGGAATGGAATGGTCATTCTCACTTCCCATTCCCTGATACCAAACATACCTATTTTTTAGAAGTTGGAATGACTATTCCCAGGGAATGACCATTCCTACTTTTTTTGGGAATGAGCATTCCAAGTGAATTGAATCGGAATTTAAGTGAGAATCAAATTAGTTACGTAATTTTTAATTATACCCCCAATGATAATAAAAATAAATCTAAAAATCTCATCCCATTGACTACGTATATCATTTTGCTATTTCGAAACTTATTATTTTAGCTGGTATTGTTTTATGGATTTTTTATTATGATATGAGTGATTTTGATACTTTATCAAATGAGTTAATTTATATATCTAGAACTATGGAGTGTGGATATCATTCTTTATATTATTTTTGAACCTATGAAAGATGCGATACTCTTTTATTTATTTTTCTTTAATTTTTAAGACTAAGAAATAGTGAGTATTGTTTAAAAAAATATAAACAGAACATGTACTTGAGAGATAACATGTGCATTAGTATAACACATAGCTAGATTAATATAACCTATGCATAAATAAAATTGTTTAGTTATTATCATTAATGTTTATTTTTATCTTATTAAAAATCTATGTTGTTGTAAGAGCATTATTAGAAAATAAGATTTCATTCTCACTTGTGAACTAGTGATACCAAACATGGGAATGAGAGTGAGATTTTTATTCTAGCTTCGATTTCATTCTCACTTGTGAACTAGTGATACCAAACATGGGAATGAGAGTGAGATTTTTATTCTAGCTTCATTCTACAAACGCACCCAAACAAGAGAATGACAAACATGGGAATGAGAGTGAGATTTTTATTCTAGCTTCATTCTACAAACGCACCCAAACAAGAGAATGAGAATGACCATTCCATTTCCACATACATTTCATTCGATTTATTCCTTCCATTCCATTCTCATTCGAGTCTATTCCTTCATACCAAACGAGGCGTTAGGGTTTTGAAGATATGGGAGTTCTTTTGAGTTGAATTTGGATCGGGTTGCGGATAACATGTCTATAGTTATAAACCCGACCCAATACAAACATTATACTTAGCCCATTTCAAATATCCGGATATCCGGACCATATCTGCAATTTCGATGCGATAACTGTATCCGAAACCGTATCCGGATAAAAAATCTAATCCGAAACTATATTCGATCGGTTTTAATTTTTCCCTACCATATATGCTTTCTGAACGGATACGGTTGCGGTCGGTCCGGATATATCCGGGCCATTTTGCACCCCTACACATGCGACAAGCGTTACTATAGCTAACGGTATAAATTATCCTCAATTGAACTTTGGATTACATATTCTGATTATAGACCTAATCTCTTATTTATCAATTAATTCCGTTTGTTGTTTGATCTTTCACATAAAATTTGCCTTCATCTTTAGCATGCTTTCGTGTTTGGTGAAATGCCTGCATGATAATTTGCTTCCATCTATTATAATCACAAGCTGCACTCTATATGTTTGTTTGGTTGTTAGTTTGATCAAGTAAATGGAGATTAATTGGTTTTTAATTGTGACCCAAAGTTTGGGTACTTTTTTTATGATTGTGTTTATGTTTGTATTTCTTGATAATTACATTGTCATGGAATTTTTGTAAAGTTCATTTTACGTTCAGCATTTGGAAGATGGTCTTGATTTGTTGTACTAGGTTGGATTTCGGTAGTGGTTTCCAATGTAGAGGGCCATGCTTATCGAGTATAGTACGAGTAGTTTCTCATTTATGAAAGACTGATGTTATCTAATTTTCACATGTACATTGCATCATAACCAGTACCTACACATTTTCTGCGAAAATGCCTCAGTGATGAATTGCTGTCTTCATCATAACCACAGCCTACCCTTCATGTGTTTGACATTATGCTTGACAAACGATGTTCAGTTGCTTTCTGTACAGTTTTGGATTTATTATATGGTAGACTCATCACTAACAATTGCACACTTACATTACATAGATGCATAAATTCAAATGGAGAACTGATAATGTCAAAAGAGTTACTTAACTCGACTATTGCAACGAACATAAGCATTGATGAGTCTATGGAACTCATCGCTGTGTGTAGGATAACTAGATATATGAAGAGAATAAATACATTAAAAATTATCCTTTAAACTTTTATCCACTTCATTAAGCATCATTTCCATCATTAATTCATTCCAAGTGTCAATAGCCCCAGGCAAGCACCAGTGTAGACAATCATTGGCATTCTTCTCTAACGGGTACTTCACATATGGACCTGGATGTCCATCTGCTCTTAGTAGTGAAAGATGGTAAACATCAAGAAGTTTCATATGAATCCCTTTCTTGGATCCAGCAGCAGCTGCTTTATTAAACTCCTCGATATCAATGGCATAATTCCCATGGCCTGTACGTGTATCATTATATTCACCTTCTTTGTAAGGTACAGTTCTATTGCAAAGCCCTCCGCTGTACCACTCCCCATATTCAAAGTGCTCAGGTGACCATGTCCTGTAAACTACTAGAGGCTTATGATCAGTTGTTGTGATGAAGTTAAAAGCCATTTGCAAGGCCCTTCGATAAGGGTAGAAGGACCCAAGTTCCTTAAACTCGCTTTTGCAAGAATGACAGCCTACTATAGTATTATTTTCCATCATGATCGTTGGTGTGCTGAACCATGGGCCGGCTGAAAGTATTATGTAGTCATGCCTGTGATATTCTGTGGTCCATGTGCTTTCAAGTGTATCTAAATAAATTTTGGACTTCCTTTTTGATAGAGATTCAGCTTGCAGCAGAAATGGAGCCCAGTATTCTGTAAGTGTGAAATTATAGGAGCGAAAATGCCACCTCATGGATTTATATGCTCCACTATAATAGGTATCAACAGATTCTTCTGCCTGGTTTCATATGCATGTTAACTTTTAGTATCCATTAAACATCAATGCAGCCGAAATTTTTTGAAGTAAATTTCATCGAAAATCATGCATATATAGCAAATGTTTTGTTAAATTTGTGAGTCAAGTTAAGCTGAAAATTTTTAAAAAAAATTAAAGAGTTGGATAAATAAAAAGTTTCACTCCTATCTTCTTCTGAAATGAAATAGATATGTTCACAGAGTATCTATGAAAGGCACCTTAGAAAGAAGGCAAAGCAATGACTGCATCTGGTTTCTCAAAAGCGAATCACCAACCATAGCCAACGACTTATCACGCATGCCATTCAGAAACCTTTTTGGGTCAGGTTTCTTTAAGTTGCAATTGTGTGGTTTCCATCTCCAGTAAAGGTATCTTGTGTCAGGCCGTCTGTTCTTTATACAATCCCAACGAGCATACACGAATTTACAGCTAGTATTCGTGTAAGATGGTGCTGAAGTAGTAGGGATCCACTCCCCACGGAAAAGATCACATTTTTCTGCATTAATTCATTTACATTTGCAATCAATTTACAGCTCATAATAACAAAATTGAAATTATAGTTTTAAAGTAAGCAGTTTATAAATTGTATTCCACATTTTCACAGACATGGATAAGATGCAGTAAAATTTTCTTGATAATAGGACAGTATATGTATGCAATCTGTTACTATAGAACAGTGGTTGTGTATCTTTTTGATATCATGATCTTGCCATTATCTGATTCTCAGTGATGGATGTTTCAGGAAAATTTCATTTTAAATTATTCTAAATATTTCATGGAATTAATGCATTCTCAAATTATAATTAGGAGTATATAGTCTTTTGCTGTGTATCACTCTCATTTGCATATTAATTCTAGGGGAAAAAGAAATGAAAGATAGGAACTCATACCATTTTCAGGAATCCCATCCTCAAGGGATGGCAATTGAGCATTCGCGACAGTAAGGAGGTAGAGAACACCCATTAGAAGGCCAATAGTAAGCTTGGGCAGCATGTTATTGTTCTTATTTCGTGATGCTGCACATTTCTTCTTTTCCAGCTTCACCTTCTTCGCCATATTTGTTTCCGTCACAAGCAAGTTGCCTTCACAATTTGCAGTAGATTTGATTGATAGTCATATATTAAAAGAAACAGCTAGGGACACGCCAAATGATTAATAAAAGAATCCAACATGAATGGGGAGACTGTGCAAATAAAATAGTTAAGCAGCATCCAACCTTTAGAGATGAAAGGAGGGAAGGGCTGGATAATGCTACACTGACGCTCAACTAGATTAGGCTAATTGTACCTCCAACTGCATACTGCCAACTTATCATTGGTACAATTATGAGTCACTTATTGCTGTGGAACTATAAGCATCTAAGCCCATATATGCCTAGGAGGTTTTCTTTTATTTTATGGGATCCCATGCTCTCACCCCACAGGCTGATCTATTTATCAATGATTACTTCTTTGCGAAACTAATCAGACGAATAATAATAGCAGAAGTATATCCACAAGCAAAGTTTTGCTTATGAATTTAGAAATTCGGTCTGTACCGTGAAATTGCCATTAAAAAATTACTACAGTTTGTGGACGTGTAATGTGGAATGCTTGTCAAGAAATATGCCACGATAGCAACTAGCGGAGGTGTACGAGCATATGAATATGTGCCACCATTCGTTGTGTTTAAATTAAGCAGTCCCAATTTGAATTAAATTTTTGTAAGGAGCCGTATAGGGAGGTAGAAGGAGATTTTGATCTACACATGAATTTGGAAGGTCTTTTTTTTAATAAATGAAGGACGTGTGTGTCTGTTTACACAACATTCTCTCCAATGATTTTATGATTTTAATTTTTGTATGTGAAATGCCTATCCAAATCAAGGGTTTGTATATCAACCCTACTGGAAACCTATCATGTATGCATCCATTTCATGATGATGACAAAATTTCTCAATCAATGCTTTAGTTAAGAGAAGTCTTCATTTCATGCGTACTAATTCTGCTCATTGTGAATCATATAAACGTTGACCATGTTTCTGAAATGTGCTACTGTTTTCTGGTACATGTCTGAAAATTAGATTTTTCATACTGGACAATTCGTTTCTGTACCTAGTGGGCGCTTTTGGCAATGTGATGCAATGGCTCCAGACAAGATTTTTGTTTTATCATGTTGTTCTGTTACAGAGTGAGACTTTAAGTTCATTCTTCGATGACTTTGGCATGTAAGAAAAAGCTTCTCTTCCTGTTGATCTGTACTAGTTGGTATTAGGGAAGCAACCCCAGATGCGTCTCGTGATGCATCTATTGCATCAGCATGTAGTTGCTATTTTGATCCTATTTCCAGTTTATCTGCAAGAAATATTTTAGTTGATTATACATTTTCTTTCCTTTACTGTTTTATAATTAAGCATTATTTATTCCAGAAATCTTGGAAATTTTTATATCTTCGATTCCATGGTCTTAGTCTCTGCATATGTGCTGACATATGTGATCGCTGAAGCCCCTAGGCGGAAAATTTCTGTCAGTCGTATCTCTTGAATGAAGGGCTTGCAGGTAACTGAACTTTTTTGCTTATCCATGTAAAATTTGTCCTTTTGCAGAGTATAGTTTGGGAGGCAAGCAAAATTGAAAATGCAGTTGTTGTATTATAAAGCTTCTTTTATGATTCTTTAGTTAAACTACTGGTATGCTCATGGATTGTTCCTTTCCATAAAATTGGCTGGTCTTTCTCATTTTGCACCTATTCTAGAGTAGAAATGTGCCTAAGAGGTTGGTTTTTTCTCAACAGTCAGAAAGGTAAAGTTGGAAGAGAATTATTTGCTGCTCTATGGAGGAAATGGAACAAATTTTGTGGCTTGCGACTATGGTTGGTTTGTTACTGGGTGTTCCTTACCTTCCTACAACTGAGAGTGCAGAGATGCCTCCCTTCAGGACGATTTTTCTCAAATAGGTACACAAGCTCTCATGTGTTTTGTCAATCTCTCAGAATAACATGCAGATGAAAGTGATAAATGCATGCAACAGTAATGAAAATATACTCTTTTTTCTGTCCAAGGAAGTGCATTCTGGAAGGTAATGTCTTTTATGTTTTATTGAACTAAACTAAAAACGACACTTATTCTTGGCTGAAGATCTGAATGGAAGGAGTTTATTCCGAGTTTTCATGAGTAACTTCAAAGATATTTATCAGTAATATATGATGACGTTATTGTCGCAAGTGAAGTTTTGGAGAGAATTGTCTGAACATTCTTTTAAAATTAGTGTGAGGACCCCTATTCATATTATATAAAGCATAAAACAAAATGTACAATTCCGAGCCAAGTGACCGTATCAAACTGAGACATAAACTCAGTTATCAACAGTAAGCAAAACCAAAACCTTCACGACAGACCTAAGATCTAGAAAGTATTAAGTATTTGACCAGATTTTGCTCTTAAGTACATGAACATAGTTTGGAAAACCAAAAACCAACAACAGCGAATATGAAACTGAGAAAGAACTACACTTCTTGTCAACCAGCAGCTTGGAAGTTGTCTCCTTCATCCTCGTGCGGCATTAAAGCATCCATGCCCTGCTTCTGATCAATTCTTTTGAAAATTTCCCCTTTCTTTCCTGTCAAGCTCTCTGCCCACAACATCACAAAATGATCAATGTTAGCCGCAGTCTTTTGTGATTCTGGCTTAACATCATTGAAGATCAAGCTGTTGCACTCTCTCCAAATGCACCAGCAAAACCACAGGGAAAATGAATTTCCAAAGATAGCGACGTTTACTGTCATGAATGAAACTGCCATTTGTCTGAACATTCGAATTCCAAGCCTGGAAATATTCAAACTCAAAAGACCAATAT